GTTGGCCGAAAGCCTGCCGTTTGCTTGTTGTCAGCCATGGTGGTTTTCCCACGTCTCAGAGCAAGAGTCTTATTGCATTTTAATGTTTTGACAGTCTCATTTAATGCATCGCTAGGTCTTCAATAACTCTCCAAAATCTTTGTCTGCACGTAGCCAACTCCTTACCTAACACATGGCTAGTTGGTACCTGGGTCTGACCATTGTGAGTTCTTTACTGGCTTACTGTTAGGCCTGTCTTGACAGGCTTTCAGGTGAGTGACTACTTGGGTAACCAAGATAACCCTCTTGTGTTGTGTCCATCAATGTCCCCCAATCCCAAGTGCAGCTTAGTTCAGCGAAGGGAATAATAAAGGCGGAAATAGTCTCCAGTCATAGGAAAGGGGCGCGATCGACCGGGCAAAACGGTCGAGCAAGACATCCAACTAGTGGAGTGGGCACGGGTGAGATGGCCGACTGACAGTGTTTGACCAGCGAGGTGGCTGACCGTCAAGGCGACTGACGAGGGTGTCCAACCTGCGAGGTGGCTGACTGTCAAGAAGACCGACCGAGGCTGACCGAGTGATGACGCCACCAGGGAGCGAAGGGTTAAATGTGTCGGTGGGCGAGGGGCTCGAGGGCAATAAGGCACGTGGCGACATGATGGAAGGCAGACAATGGAACAACTCTGTCTGTTCACGTGGATCAATTAAGGCATTGATGTCAATTTCAAATGATTCGAGGACAAAAGTGTGATAGTGCTTGAATTCGGAAAGGCAAGGGGTATTAATTTGCAATGGCGCGTGAATACGAAAGGGCTAATGTATTAATTCGTGTGTGTTCGTTTTCCCTTCCCATTTTGGGCAAATTTTCAAACTGGCGATTTTAAATTTTGATCCTTAGATACAGGGAAAACCGTGGGCTTTTGCATATGTGCCTTTCACATATCTGATTGCAAAAAATCAATGCATTCCAGATATTGAGCTCTTCGTATCGTGGGATTTCTCCTATCTTCCATATTCGAAGATCTTGACTCCCGCAACTGAAGCAATCATTAGAAACTTGAGAAGAGATGGCCCAAGAGAAAACTCCAGTCCTAAGAACTGACGCCTAGGAGATAATGATGGGATTGCTTTGTGAAGAAATATAGGTGGAGAAGATGGTAGAGAAAGCACCGGAAGCGCTCCTCGCCTGAATACCATCGACAATGATCTCGACCGCGCAACCGATTAGTCAAGTAGCCCCTGACCACTGGCATACGAAGGCAGACAAGTCGACGTTGATGATAGAGGACCTGGAGAGAATCCGAAGCAAGTATCAGATCACCAAGAACGTGGAGTTAAGGGCTCCAATGGTTGGGGAAAGGGCGTCGGATTCCAGACCTATGGAATTCACCCTCTACGAAGAGGCATTGTTTAGAGGGTTGAGGTTACTGCTTCCCCAACTGGTTGTGGAATTGCTGAACTGACTGGAGGTGTCGTCGAGGCAGTTGGTACTGAACGCATGGAAAATACTAATGGCCAACGTGATCTCTTGGCCATAGGCAACCGGAGGGCGACACATGACAGTCGACAAGTTCTTCTCGTGCTACAAGGCGTCGGGCCAACAGGAGACCTGGGTATCCCTGCAAGTGGTGCCAAGCAGAGGATTGGTGGTTGGGCTCCCTTCCTCCGTTAAGGGGTGAAGGACGAAGTGGTTTTTTGTTTCAAAAAATGGTAGGAGAAGGGCAAGAACGATGTAGAAAATCCCCACCAGGTCAGTAGAGCTGAAGTTAAGCGTAGCGAAAGAGAGAAAAGTGATGGAAGTGAAGCAATGGTGAGAGAAAGAGAGGCTCAAGTAGGATGAACTAGTTAAGCCCTCTGCCCTCTTCACCACCGGTTTAGGCCCTAAACTGGCAGGGAGGACCCCACCCCAGAGGAGGTTAAGGCGAGGAAAGCGGCCTAAGAGGCTGATGACTGTCGAGCGCTTGTTGCGGCAAAGAATCTAAAAGAACAGGAGCTGGGCCTAGCTCCCAAGCCATACGTGCACATGGTCGCCCGCCAACATCCCAAAGTGTTGGGGGAATGGGACTTAGAAACTATTGTGCCGGTGAAGGCACCGATTGATCCGATCAAGGAGAGGAGTAGAGCTTGGATAGAGCAAGCGAAGAAGAAAAAGAGAAGTGTGCCAGGGGGAGGAGGGGAGGAAGGGAAGAGCCAAACTTGTGCGCAAGGGATGATCGAACATGGAAGGTGGCGATAGTGTAGGCAAGGCCAACAATGATCGCTGAGAAGAGCGAAGCCGACCCTCCCATCGCAGAGTTTATGGACCTGGCTAAGGTGAAGGAGGGGAAAGCAGAGGAGCAAATGATTGGCCTGCCTGCGGCGAAGGAAACAAGGGATAAAGTAGTGGGTGGAAAAGGAGCGCCCAACCCCCAGTGAGTACAAGTAGAGTGGAGGAGAGCTCCGCTTTCGGTGTAGTGAGCACCGCTGCTTGTCATCTAAGTGCAGTAGTTGGGCGCTCACTACCTGAAGTGAGCCAGCCAACGAGCCAGCATCTTTCGTGACACCAGAGCTGCTACTGAACGCCAGTTGAGCATTATAGATGATGCGACTGTCAGGGACGTGTCTCGATTTGGGGAGGCCAACCTTATGAGGGCATTATGCTCGGCCCAAATGGAGTCGCTGACCTTGGCAGCCGCTTTACTGGGCAAAGGAGTGATGGCGAAGATGGAGACTGAGCCACTAAAGGCCCAGTTATTGAAGGCGCACGTTGAGCTTGAAGTGGCCAGAATGAAGAGTGTCAAGTGACAAAAGGCGACGTGAAGTGCCTGTGCCAAAGGGCTGGTGAATGAGCGACGTTTAAAAAGGATGGAAATGCTAGCCTTGGTGCAGGGACATGTAGCCGATCGAGCAAAAATGAACTAATCTATAGCGATCCCGGGTTTACCCTTGTTGTATAGTGATCCGGACATGTGTCCGTGGATGTTGGTAGTTGATCATTATCTTGTTTACATCCTTTCTTACTTTGTATTTGAGTTATAGGATGTGTTGGGCAGATTTGTTACAGATTGGTTGAGTTTAGAAACCAAAACTAGTTGCCCAGATTTTGGCCTGTCCGCTCGAGCGGGGAGTTTGACGCTCGAGCAGGGACCCTGTTGTTGACTGTCCGCTCGAGCTGGGGTTTTGGCGCTCGAGCGGGGAATACACCCATCCAGTATTTCCTGTGCAGTGTTGGACGCTCGAGCGGGGGATTGGCCGCTCGAGCGAGAGGTTGTGAGTGACGCTCGAGCGGGTACCTGTTGTGTCGAGATGCTGGGAGAGTGCATCCGGCGCTCGAGCGGGAGTTTGGACACTCGAGCGGGAGTCTGTGAGTGCCGCTCGAGCGGGGAGTTTGACGCTCGAGCGGGGCGACTGGGTTTAAGTTCCGAGTTTTGACTTTTCAAATCACTTTTTCACTTTCTCTTCTCTCTCCCACTTTTCCAAAAACACCATTGTTGAGCCTCTCACTCTAGAACTCTACCTTCTCTCTAGGTTTTGATCTAGTATGAGTGATTTGCTCATCTTTGGCCTTTACAAAAAAGTTGTTGATCGTCGAGGGCTACATTTTAATCTGAAAATTTCGGGATTTGGAGCACGTTGGGTTTTGTCATCTTCTCCCTTGGGGCTCCGAATTTGAGGTAGGGATATCCTACTCCTCTCTATGGATTTTGTCTTTAAATTTTGGTATTTTGAGATGTTGGGGTTGGTTTGGTAATTTTGTGAAAGTTTGGGGCTTTTGTGTTATTTTACAAAAGTTGGGGTTTTATTTATAATAAACCTAGAAGCATGTTTGGTATAGAGAAATGGAATAAATGTTGAATCATTGATGAAAATGGGACCTAAGGGTTGTAATGTTAATTATGGAAAATGACCTAATTACATTTCTCACAATTAATTATCCCAATTACCGATCCTTGTCAACATTTTTCCGTACTTGGTCATCCTTCTTAGCATGACAAAGTTGCAAAATGAGAGCATGCCCATCCAAAACAGTTCCCTGGAAGAGAAGGAGTGTTGGGTCAAATCTTATGCAAATGATGTTCATTAAGCAGGATATATTACCTGTAAATCCCTGCAAACATTTGCTGCCGTTTCAACAGAATCAAGCTCTAAGAAACCAAAACCCATTGAGACATTCTTTCCATTTTTCAAGTGCTTCTTCACCTGCACATGGACAGAACAGAACGGTGACTACAGAAAAAATTGAAGCTCAATAATAATGTGGTAAAGGTGCTTGGAAGTAGAAATTACCCGGACACTAAGGACTTTTCCCTCTTTGATTTGTTCACTAAAATACTTTCGCAGTGCCTCATCAGATGTTTTAAAGTTGAGGTTCTTCACAAATAATGAACGTGACTGCAGCACAAAGGACAACATAACAGCGAACACGAAATTAGGATGGCTATATACTCCATAGAACAGTAGCAGGTACTTCAGAGCATGCACATAAAAGGCCGGAATAACTCAAGCAACAGCATATATTCAATATGAACGTTGTCAAAGAACAGAAATACCAAAGGCCTACAAACTATAGATCCAGCAGTTGCAAAGCCATACTATCATTTACGTAGCAGTTGCAAAGCTGTGTTGGCCATCTATCAATTGCTAATCTTTTAGTCATTGTTCATGGTTAGTTTAGTGTATTTCTACTGGGCTGTGGCTCACCCTATATGGGAATATCATTTTCAGGTACAGGTAGCATGCCACCTCCAAGGACATAGCTTGGGAGGCTAGATGCGAGTTGATTTTTGGTGTTTAGTTTCTTTTTGATGTATTACATGTATATTCGAGCCGAGGGCTTAATGTGTAGATGAGTTAGCACTCTTTGTTGTAACCAAATGTTAACTTGAAAAGCTGTAAGCCCGTAGGGCATTTTGCTTTTGTTGTTAATATATAATATTCTTGTAACGAAACTCTGATGAATAGAAGAATGTGGAACTTTTATATATCAATGCATGCCTTTATTGATGGGTTTACGGTTATTATTTTGAGGGCGTTACAACTTGGTATCAGAGCGTACCGAGTTCGAATACTTTGGGTACGTGGGAAGTGATTAGGATCACAATGGGTTTGTCTCGCTTGATAGAGACTTAGATGTAGTGTCATATGCTATGTGTTTAGTTGATAACATGCTTATGTGTTTATTTGAGTATGGGATTTAATTTCTAGGATGTTGATTGGATCCTTGGGTTTCTGGGAGTCTTGCTGGAAAGGCACTTGATCAATGTTGTTTCTAACCGGAGCTCTAGTAACGCCTCGGGACTATCATTATCCGGAAATAAAATTCGTTAGTGCTTATGTGTTTATGTGCTTACGTAGAGTGAATTACAGTTGTCCATGCATTAGGATGTGAGTGTTTAGTTTTGGCACATTTGTGAATGTGCTGACGTTCTGTACTATCTTTATTAGGATATCAGGACGAGGAAGAGGTGCTAGGCGTGGTAGGCCTGCGAGGCAGGAAGTACCCTTACCGGATGATATTCCGGCAGTGCAGGAGGGAGTTGGCCAGGCCAATGCGGCCGAGCCAGCGGGTCAGCAGGCTATGAGTGCCTTGGCACGAGAGATAGCAGGGGCTTTGGGTATTCTCAGGGCTGGGAATCAGGCAGCTGAGGCAGTGCCTTCTTTCTTGAAGAGGGAGTTCTTCCGGTCTAACCCGGATGAGTTTGTTGGGGATCCAAAGGAACCACTGAAGGCTGACGAGTGGTTGGAACAGATGAGTAAGACGTTCGAGATGCTTGGCATCGAGGACGGGGCACTGAAAGTGACCTTGACATCCTTCCAGCTGAAGGGAGATGCGGGTCAATGGTGGAAGTACGAGAAGGCTCGTGTTGGTGGTACATGGGAGGCGTTCGTAAATGCTTTCCAGGAGAGGTTTTTATCTGCAGCAGCTAGGGAGAAGCTGAGAGATCAGTTTAGCCGGCTTAAACAGCAGGGCTTGTCAGTGGCTGAGTTTGAGGCTACTTTTACCAGTCTGTCCAGGTTTGCACCTGAACTGGTGGCGTCCGAGGAACGCCGTTGCTATGAGTTTGAGCGGAAGTTAAGGCGTGGCCTCAAGCTGAGGGTTGGTGGATCCTTCGTTCAGGAGTACAGGCGTTTGGTTCATGCTGCTGCTCATATGGAGATTATGATGCAGGAAGAGGAGGAAGAACAGAGGGGCTCCAAGAGGAGCCAGGATGGTCAGGGTGATGGCAGGAGACAGAGGGGTTATAACCCTCAGCAGTCTCAGGGTGGAGTTCCTAGATCGACCTTTCCAGTGCCGAGTACAGGCTCGGGGATGGGCAATCAAGGGGAGCTCACTTGTTTCAAGTGTGGCCAGCTGGGTCACAAGGTTTCAGTTTTCCCGCAGAAGGGTGGAGGTCAGAGAGCTGCTTCTTCTTCAGCTAGACCGCAGAGTCAGAGTTTGGGCAGGGGACAGTCCTTGTCTTGTTATCAGTGTGGACAGCCTGGGCACCTGAAGAGGTTTTGCCCACAGTTGAGTACCACTTCGGGAGCGCCTGGTTCTAGGCAGACGTAGGGATTTCAGCCAGCTCAGTCTGTGCAGGCCTCGAGGGCCAATCCGGGGGCTTCGTCGTCCCAGTTAGTGCAGCAGTCTTTTGCTCCTAGAGGTGAGCAGGTGGATCAGGGGTCTACAGGGCGCGTGTATGCTGTTATCGCGCAGGATTTAGTACCGGCTCCATCAGTAGTGAGAGGTACTTTTCTGTTTTGCAACTCGGTTGCTAGTGTGTTGATAGACACGGGTACATCTCATTCTTTTGTATCTGCTGCATTTGCATCGGTTTTGGAATTGGAGTTAGCACAGTTAGCATCTCCTATATTTGTGTAGTGTCACCTCTTGGGGTTGAACTGATCTTGAAACAAGGGTGTTAGAGGTTGTGATATAGAGGTCGCCGACCATAGGCTTCCTTTTCCGTTTGTTGTCATGCCATGAAGGGCTTTGTTTATTTTGGGTATGGACTAGCTATCGTCATACCGGGCTGTTATCGATTGCTACCGCAGAGGGTCATGTTATGTACCTTGAGCGGGAGTGGTTCATTTCTTGGGAGACCGGGTTGGTAGTGTTTTGCCACCGGGGTATGATCCGCGAGGGCGGAGTGAGCTTAGTGGTTTACTTGCTAGCTTTGAGAGTGGTGAGTGTGATAAGACCCAGGTTGTGTTGCCGAGGGTAGTTTGTGAGTACTCGAACGTCTTTCCCGAGGATCTCGTTAGTTTGCCGCCTCATCGGGAGATCGAGTTCTCCATTGATTTAGTGCCCGGCACGGCGCCGATTTCTATGGCACCTTACCGTTTTGCTCCAGCAGAGTTGGTTGAGTTGAAAGTTCAGCTCCAGGAATTGATAGATAAGGGCTTTGTTCGCCCTAGTGTTTCGCCGTGGAGAGCACCGGCCCTCTTTGCTAAAAGAAAGACGGTGCCTTGAGGTTGTGTATTGACTACCGGAAGTTGAATCAGGCTACGGTTAAGAATAAGTACCCTATGCCCCGTATAGATGATTTGTTTGACCAGTTGAAGGGTTCCCGTTGTTTCTCTAAGATAGACTTGAGATCGGGTTACCACCAGTTGAGGGTCAGGGAAGAGGTTATTCGAAGACGGCATTCCGTACGCGGTATGGCCATTATGAGTTTCTGGTGTTGCCATTTGGGCTTACCAATGCACCGGCAGTCTTTATGGACTTGATGAACCGGATTTTCCGGGAGTTCTAGATCGATTTGTGGTTGTCTTCGTGGACGACATTCTTATCTATTCACCTTCTGAGGAGGAGCACGAGGAACACTTGAGAGTGGTCTTGAGTTGCTTAGAGCCCATAGGCTGTATGCCAAGTTTGGGAAGTGTAAATTCTGGCTAGGAGAAGTCAAGTTCTTAGGCATGTGGTTTCCGGGGAAGGGTGTCTGTAGATACATCCAAGATTGAGGCAGTGCAAGATTGGGCACAGCCTAAGAGTGTATTGAAAATCCGCAGTTTTCTGGGATTAGCTGGGTATTACCGCCGGTTTGTAAAAGATTTCTCTAGGTTAGCGTCACCGTTAACTAGGCTGACTCGGAAGGAGTCAAGTTTGTGTGGAGTGAGACTTGTGAAAAGTCGTTCCAAGAGCTAAAAGTTAGATTGACCC